GGGTCCCCTCTCTGTGGGTTTGGGACAGGTAACCCAGGGAAGAGCAACCAAAAAGGAGGGTGTGTTGGCCCTTCACGTCGTGGTTCTTTGCCGACAGGTCATCACTGCAGCTACTGCAAATGCAGTTTGCCTCTGGATTTAATGGTAAACACTGCCTGGACGACCCTGCTGCTGACCCCAGCTGGCACACACAGGGCAGTGCTGCCCATCCCCACTCTGCCTGGGAGCATCCTCTGACTGCTCTGGAGCCTGTTGGGGCTGGTTGGTGTTGGCTCTGGGCACAGCAAGGGTGGCAACTTCATGTGGGTCCCTTACGTGCCTGTCAGACACTGACAGCCAGGACCAGCTGCCTGCCCAGCCTGGGTAACTGGTAACAGTGTCACTTTACCAGTCTTCTGGACCAGTTGGTTACTGAAGGTGGATGTTTTAAGTGAAAGGGTTGGCAGTTTGTTTTGCATGGATCTGGCCTGGTACCAGATCCTGTGCTCACAACTGGGAGCAGCCTGTTCTGCGAGCAGAGCGGGGCCGTCTTGGACAGGGAGGGATGCTGAGGTGGGTCTGGCTGCAGGGCTGGGGAGCAGAGCCAGCAGGAACTTCAGTGACCTGCCGTGACTCCACTTTTCCCAAGCTCCTTGTGGCGACACTCCCAATTCCCAAATGTTGCTGGGATGGTCAGTATTTGTGTGTGCATAGCAAGCTTTTTTTCTGAAGGAAATCCGGTCACTTGCACTTCCAGGCAGCAGTTCCCCCCCTCCGTGTTCCTCACAAAAATGCCTTTTTTAGACAGGACTTTTACCAAGTCCTGGTGATCTGTTGATTTACACTTGATTAAAGTGAGCTAAAAGTGGGTTTTTCCCTCACATACAGATGAAGTAAAAGGCAGAGTTGTTACCTTGCTCACACAGAGGCACTTGAAGCTTCACGGGTACGATATAGCGGCACGTTGCAAAAAGACGAGCATAATTTATATGATATAAAGTATATAGAGATATATTTTTAAAAAGTCCCTTCCCTTATTCCATAGTTTATTGAAACTGATGCGTTTCTTGATCCTGTTCCCTCTCACCACCACTGCTGCCTGCGGCTTCTCAGCCTCTCCTTCCCTCAGACTGCAGAACCGTCCGGTGACCTTCCCTCTCCAGTCCTGTCCCTCGTGACACGACCCCTGAGCTTCTGGCGATGCCGATGTGCCCTGGCTTGTGTGTCACGGGCCTGGAGTGTTTTGATGCCTTTTTCAGCCTTCAAGCTCGGGGTCAGGTGCTGCCCCAGGTGATACCAGGTGAGGGGCTGCAGCCTGGCTGGTGAGCAGCTCTGCTGCTGCCGGGGTACAGCACTGAGAACCAGTGGGGGTACAGCACTGGGAACCAGTGGGGGAACAGCACTGGGAACCAGTGGGGGAACAGCACTGGGAACCAGTGGGGGAACAGCACTGGGAACCAGTGGGGGAACAGCACCGGGCAGCTGGAGTGGGGGAACAGCACCGGGCAGCTGGAGTGGGGGGTGCAGCACCAGGCAGCAGTGGGAACCAGTGGAAAAGTGGCTTGTGCCGGCCTGTGGATTCCTTCCCACCCTACTGGGGTTCCTCTCCTCTGGTTCAGTGGGGCCTTGGTCCGGTGCCTCCCCTCCCCTCGGCGCAGGGGTCCCCGCACTGTTCTGCCTTTATGTGACAGCAGGAGCTGGGCCAAGTGGTGCCAGAGCTGAAGTTCCCGGAGCCAAATGAAGAATGTCTCATTCTGAAGGGCCGGTACTTCCACAGCATCCCACGTGGAGTCTGCAAAGGCTGTGTGGAGCATTCAACTAGTTTTGCCAATTTTTTTTACTTTATATGAAAACGCAACTTTTTAAAAAGAGTCTTTTCTTAAAATCCCCTTGATCTGCTGTGCAGTGTCTGAGCCTGGCTGTTTAACATCAGAATTCCCAGGATTTGTCTGCAGGGACTTACATTTCAGGATGGTAACAGCAATGCCCAAACACAAGGCAAAAGTCGGCTTGATTGCCCGTCTGCAGTCCCGGCATTAACGGCCACAGGTCAAGTGAGTTGCCACTGATCTTGTTGCATTAAAAACCTGAGTTACACCATTGTTTTCTCTTCTGCCATTAATTTTGCAAAGTAGTAACATTTTACTTCCCTGTTTTTATTCTTTCTCTGCACTCAAATGGCTGCTGACAGCTGTGGTATCTTTAAAGTGTGGGCATGGGCTGAGTCCCACCTCTGCTCTCTCACAGTTCCCCATCGCGTGCGTTCGTGTGTCTCTTTTTTAAGCTAACGATAAAATGTATTTATTTCGGTTCAGGTTGTGTTTGGAACTGGCTAATCTCTCCCTCTGATGGATTATTTATTAAACTGCTGCTTTCCTGTTGTGTTGAAGGTCTCTGTCCTGATTCCTTCCCTCACTGGCAGTACCAGGCAGCTCCTGCCCAGCCCTTGGCCTGACCTTTGTGAGTGGTGTGAAGATTTGGGGCCGGTTTGGGTCACCTAGGTTGGGGCTGCCAGCCCCTTCCCTAGGCTGAGATGGGGAGCAGGTCCCTGGCTCCCACCTGCCCCACTGGAGACTCCTCCTGGACTGGTTTTTAGCAGCCCCCACTCTATTGTTTAAACTTCCAGCCAGGTTTAATTTAGATCTTATCTGACTCCCATAAACACTTTTTGTGGTGGCTGAGGATGGTCCTGACTGAACAATTTAATCACAAGAAGTGTAAACACATCTGAGTCAGCTCTGGGATGGGGGCTAGTGCTTGATGGCTGATATCCTGGAAACATGAGCCATTAACACAGCCTGTTGCTTCTGTATTTATTTCCTCTGGACTAGACTAGCTTTTATTTTATTGTTTTCATCTTTATTTGAGAGAGAACCGTTAGCTTTTCTCACTTGGCATCACTGAAGAACAAAGGGCTTGTGTTGCAGTACAGGAGGTTGTGGCCACCCTTCCCCCCATCGGCGTGATGGTCCCTGGGGCAGAGGCAAAGCCTCGACCCTTCTGGGGCCAGTGGTCACAGCCTGGGGCTACACCCCGGCCTGAGGGGCTCGGAGGTATCCTGTCCCGGAGCCAGCCCTTGTCCCTCAGTGGTTTGTGTCTCCACACTGAACTGTTCTGCTTCCTGAGCAATGGCTCTGGACCGAGTGCTGCCCGGCACAAGGCCCCACTCCTGCCCTGTGGGAGGAAGCACAATTGGCTTCCAGGAAAGGTGTTGAGGCTTCTGAGTCTCTTCATTCCTTCAAATCGTTCCCTTCATTCCTTCAAAGGTTTCCTGTCCTAGAGCCTGGGCGTGCTCCTTTCACCCTGTGCACGCAACCTCTTGCTCTCTCTCGGCTGTGCCTGGGGCACCAGGAGCTCCTGTGCACCTCTGGCCCAGAGGAAGGTCTGAGTCCATTAGAGGAGAGGGCGGTGGAGTGGGGGCTGCAGTGGGTCACTGCTCAGGGGCTCGGTGAGCGAGGGCTGCCCTGGGGGCTCTGCTGTGTCACTCTGAGCTGGACCAGGTCCCCTGCCCTCCCTCTGGCTCGATGGCTGAGCCATTGGAACTGGCCCTCGTGGAGCTGGAGGTTTATCATGTTTCCATAACTCCAGTTATGGAGTTGTGTTGCCCCCCTGTGCGGTGGCTGGGGCAGCTCCAGGCACTTGCAAGCCCCAAACCTGAGGAAGTGCAGCACAAGGTGCTGAGCTTTCTGGTAACTGTCAATCTTTTGAGGTCCAGGAAGGTCTGGGAAAGCTGCTTTTTAAGAGAAGGTCACACTGTAAGTGCTCAGTTCTGGTTCGGACTCTGATTCATGGACTTTCTTATCATGTGGGTGGGAGTGGGAGGCGAAGCCCTGGCACAACGTCTCTGTCCTCAAGGTCCTCAGTCTCATTGTTGGGAAGAGCCTGGCAGTGTGGGAGCAGCCCTGGCCATGGCTTGTCCCAGGGCTGGGCCAGAGGCTCTGGTGGCTGCTGGAAAGTCCAGGAAGTGGCTCTGTTAACACAGGATGGAAGGAACAAAAACCCCAGGGCCATTAATCACCTGCTCGGGCTGAGTGTGCATATTCGGTGGTGGGTGTTTACAGAGCACTTCCCTTGCTCAGAGGCCTCCTGGACTCTCGGAGGATTAATGACATGACCTTCTGAAAGGATGCACGGCGCGCCAAGTGCCCAGAGTTGCCTCTCTGGAGAGTTCCCAGACGGGAAATGACCAGGTCCTGCCATGACAGGAGGTGCAGGGCTGGGCTCGTGCCTCCCTCAGCCCTTTGGCACCTTCCCTGGCCTTGGCTGCAGCGTGGCAGGACAGGACAGGTCAGAACCAGACCCATCTCTCCTGGGGAGCTGGGCAGGAGCGAGGAAGCGATGCTAGACCTGCCCTGAGAGGCACTGTGGCTGTGCCAGGGTCTTGGGGCTGGAAAATGCAGGGTGTTCAACACCTTCTATGTGGTAACACTGTACCACGAGACCAACCCTATCAGGAACACCTGCTTCCATCCCTGAAAACACCCTGTTCTGGGAATGAATGCAGCTGCCGGCAGGACTGACCAGGGTCCCAGGTCCCGCTTTTGGGGAGGGCCCTTTCCACAGCCACGTGTCCCCAGCAGCCTGCAGCTCATCCCAGCTGTTGGGGTCATGGAAGGGCTGTTTTTTCTGAGGGCTCTGGGTGGGTGATGGAGCCCCTGAGAACCGGGGATGGAGCTGGATCTGAGCCACATCTTGGGGTGCAGGTGCCTGTGCAGAGATGCCTGGTGGGGTGATGGGGACCCCTGCAACCACACGGGGACCCTTCAGGCCAGGGGCTCTCCTGGGTTTGGGACTACTGATTTGGCCCTCGGCTGGGTGTTGTGCAAGAGCCAAACTTGGAATAAAATCAGAAACCGAAACCTCCCTCTGGAAATACCCCTCAGGCTGGAAGTCGTGGGGGCCTCAGGACCGGTGCTCATGGGGGCGGTTCCTACAGGGCTTAAGAAGGGCTGAGGATGGGACTGGCGGCCAGAAGGCAACAGCCCTGGCCAGCGGCACCCTCTCCCTGGAAGGAGGATAGAAAGGAAGGAAAACCACCCCTGCTGCTGCCCTGCAGGCAATGGAGCCGGCTCCTGTCCTCCTCCTCCTGAGCTCGCTGTGGGGCTGCAGCGGTGAGTGCAGCCCTATCCCCCAACCCACTGCGCTGCCCGGCCTTGCTACTGCTGCTCCCCTTGTTTTGCCCCTGGCACTGCAGCCCCGGGGCCTCCCCACGCTGAGTCCCGACTGTCACCGAGTCCCCCCCGTCGCTGCTGCAGCTTCCCGTCCTGGTGCTCAGGATTCTGGTGACTGTCCCCTTCCCTCACCCTGCGGTTTCCTCCTGCCCAGGGCGCCCCGCTGACAGGCTGGTGGTGACACCGCGGGAGCCGGTGGTGCCGTTTGGGGGCTCAACAGAACTGAACTGCTCCTTGGCCTGCGCAGGGGGCACGGTGGAGTGGAGGGGACTGGATACTGCCCTGGGGACTATCACCTCCTTCCCCACCCACAGCATCCTGCACATCAGCCAAGCCACTGTGGCCACGGAGGGCATGAAGATCTGCCAGGGCAGCTGCCACGGGCGGCACTACCAGCAAACCGTTGAACTGAAGGTCTATGGTAAGTGCTCCCCAGCCCGTCCCTCGCCACCTTCTGGCGCAGCCCTGGATCCCCGAGGCAGCCTCCTCTCTCCTGGGCTCTGCTGCCAAAAATCACCCTTAGCTCTGCCCCTTCTCTGCAGCCCTCCCAGACACACTGCAGCTGGAGGCAGTGCCTCACACCCTGTGCCCGGGGCACCCCGCCTGCCTGCGCTGCTCGGCCGCGCGCGTGCACCCCGTCACCGGGCTGGCCCTCACCTGGTACCGGGGGCACCAGGCTCTGGAGAACACAGACTTCGATGCCTCAGAGACCGATGAGGAGCTGTATGACATTGTGTCCACCCTGCCTGTGGGTGGGACAGAGGTGGCAGAAGGGGTGGAGTTCAGGTGCGAGGTGACGCTGCGCGTGGGACAGGAGACCTTCACCCGGGTGGCATCTGTGGTGGCGAGTGCTGGGGGTGAGTGCCAGGAGGGGCTGGAGACCATGGCCCACGTGTTCCGTCTGCTGGAGCCAACCTCCACTGCCCTGCACTACTTGGAGTAGTGTTGCCAGAACAGGAGCAGCTCCTGCTTCTGCACCATTCCCGAATCTCCCATCCCCATCCCTGTCCCCATCCCTGCTGCCAGTGCCCATTTGCTCCCACTTGCTGTGCTTGGAGTGGAGGGTGATGGGGCTGCAGTGAGGCCACCTGTGACTGATGCTGCTGTGTGTTCACAGCCACCTCCGTGAGGAGCCCCAGCACAGCTGGGCCCGTGACCACCACAGTGCTGCCCCCAGGGCTGAGTGTCCCCACACATGATCCCACCACAGCACGGGAACTTGATGCTGGGACCACTCTGGAGCTGGCTGCTGCCACCGAACCCTCCTCCACGGAGCGGGCTGTGACACTGGACTTTGTCACAGGCAGTCCCGTGGCTGCTGCCACGCTCTCTGGCTCTGGCACGATGGGCCCAGGGCCATCTGTGGGTTCAGTGCCCACCTGCAGCCTGCGGATCTGGTCGCTGCCCCCCACGGGGACACGGGGCAGGGCCCTGCGCATCGAGTGCCACGCGCAGTGTGCCGGGAATGCCACGGTGCACTGGCTGCGGACCCCTGCTGCCCTCTCTCAGTACCGGGAGGAGGCCGTGGGTGGCAGCTCCGTGCTGTGGCTGGACCACGCTGAGCCCTGGCACCAGGGCCACTACCAGTGTGTCCTGCTCGGCCACCTCGCCCAGGGAGTCAGCCTGGAGCTGACGGTTGTGGATGGTGAGTGGTGGTCTGTGGCCCCTTGCCCTGCCCCCCATCGCTTGGATGGGGTTGCAGCCCCTTGTACCGGTGCCACAGTTGGTGCCGGGGGGGTTTGCTCATCCCTTGGGGTTTTGCTGCCCTGGGCAGCTGTGGTTACAGCTCCGTGTGTCTGCAGGTTCGTTCAGCTCCAGCCCCGCCATTGCTGCAGGGGCAGCGGCCTCACTGCTGGGGTTCATCGTGACTGCCGTTGTGTCTCGTCGCCTGTGGAAACATTTCAGATCTCGGTGGGAGCTGTCCTAGGAGCGGGAGCAGCCCACGGATGCCCCCACCTCCCCAGCCGTGTCCCTGCCATCCCCTTGTCCGCTGCTGGCCTCTCCCGGCCCCTGGCCGGCCAGAAGAAGCAGCAGCAGGAGCTGTGCCTGCAGCCGGGAAGCAGGGGCTGGAAGGGCGATGAGCAGCGGTGTCACAGGGACGGGGCCAGGGATGCTCCCGGGACTGGATCCCCGCGAGCTCGCACCGGACACTGGGCTGGTCCGACGCTCCCGGAACCTGCGATGG